CATATTAAGACTAATTTAGCATTTGAAAATTATTTCACTGGTTTAGATATCAAAGATACAATTTTCAGTTTTTATGTTTAGTTTACCTTCCATATCTTGTATGCAGGCAACATGCTTTTTCTGCTCGCTCCAGATTGTGTTGAGCTCTTCCTTCAGAATGGCAACACCAAGTGAATCTGTTACCCCTGTCAAGCTCAAAATAAGGGATTCAATTTCCTCCGTTGTTTTCTTTACACCCCTCGTTCATCTGCGACAATGCCTATAGAGTAGCAGAAATAATTCAAATATAGTTTTAGATTACTACAAGACTGGTCATCGGATTAGAATTTACATGGATTATCTTTCTTTCTTAATTATGTTAATTATAATTTACCTCTCTAATTCTCCCTTAGTTATCGCCTTGTTTATAGCAGACTCACTCGGATTTGGAATACCAGAGGCTTCTATTTCCTTCTTTTTGGCAGCCTGTAAATGAAAAAAAAAAGGGATTTTCAAGTTAAAGGGGCAGTCTGATTTTTTTAGTTGAAAGTTTTTACTTAACTCCACATACCTTAAGATTAGCTAAATCTGTCTTGTCCCATTCAAATATGGCGCTGGATAGCCGGGACATGAAGGTGCCATATAATGGATGACTCTCTGAAGTGCAACCAAGGGCAAGGCGTCGCATAAAATGCCATATATCGAGACGGATTTTTAAATCTGTCCACTTGGAAAACAGGACCTTAAAAAAAAATCATGTAAGTAGCTTTAAGGTCATGATGGATATAAAATATGTTTTTTTTTTTTAAATAACTACAATTTCGTAAGTGTGTACGGTACCTTAAACTTAGATGGACCGTCTTGGTTGCAGCATTCACGGTCTGTGTAGAGGCACTTGGGTAGATCTTTCTGTGAATTTTCGAATCTTGACATCAATCCCTCTGCCATCTCCCTTAAACTGTCAACAGATTCAGAAGTTGTCAGTACTGACATCAAAATTTCGCCCCTCTCGTTGCCACATTGGTTGCCCATTGAGCACTGTTTGCAGCCTTTCCTTGAAGTTTTTTGCACATCTGAAAGAGTAATTATACATCAAATTCAAACATTTGTTTATGGAAAATCATCTTTTTTAAATCACTGTGCATTTTTTGTACTGCTTTCAACATAAATGAAATAATTTACTTTTTTGGTTGAATCTATTTTCAATATGGTGCCATAGGTTGGTGTTATCATAGCCTTCAAGGTTTCCATCCGGTTGAAAACATCCCTCACATAGCTACAGCTCCAATAACAGCTTCCATGGTTGGTGCTTCAGCATAACTATGTTGGCTGATACTGAGAGACTTCAAACCCTTCCTGTGTTTCTGGCAGTCTTAAATGTATACCAGCTGTTTTTATATGCTTACACAATGCAACGATCATTGCACTTATAACCCTTCCAACCGCATCAAAACTATTTGTTGCTATTATAGACAGATGGATATACACTTACCATTAAAACTTGTCCTATTATCGTCAATTAGAACTTGAAATTGGCACTCTTTTCCAAATGACGCTATTAAAGCACGCGTTTTCACTTCGGCTGGACTCATTGACATTGCGAAATGACCAGGAGTTTATTTCTAGCAGACGATATTTCTTTCTAACATTCATACGTATTCACCTAATAAACAGGAGACCGAGATATTATCCTGTCCTATCTACTACCTATCGCCACATCTTACGGGCACGTTCTATGGTCACATCCATTAAAGTGTAAATGATGTTTTAACATCAAATCCCCCCTCCCTTCTCTTTTGATTTTCGCATAGTTGTTTTTCTTTGGGTTGTTTGATATCGGCGACGTTTACAGATATAACTACTTTGCCTTACACTATTTCTATTTAGTTCAGTGCGCATGCGCAATTTACCATTTCCCATCACGTGGGTTTGTTTATACGTCACAATTACAATCATACTAACGATGATAATGAGTGTAACTGAGTCATACCAGGGGGCTTTGATGTGTGTTAAGTCTAGGGTACTTAATGGACTTACGGACCTATCTCCAATTGTATTACTCACGTAATACATATACTAAAATTGGAACGATACAGAGAAGATTAGCATGGCCCCTGCGCAAGGATGACACGCAAATTCGTGAAGCGTTCCATATTTTTCGAATCTTGATACGAGATCCTTTTTACAAACCCTTATCCTGACGCCCGGTATATGGTGCTATTTTTTTTTTAATTTCGATATTTCTTTGGGAGCAGCTTTAAGGCAGTTCTCTGAATGACAGCACGGTTATACATAGGCCTATTTTAGGTAAACAATAATACAACGTCATAACAATCGCCGCTTAAAACAATCAATGCATTGTTGTTGCTGTTTAATGCCAGTATTGTAGGTTGAAGTGCCGAAGAAGGTTTCCGAAGCCAATGAATTGCCAAACAACTCAATTATGTCATAATTAGCAATACAATTGACATATATATGCTTCCACAATGCGATGATAATTGCACTTATAACCGTTCCAACCGCATCAAAACTATTTGTTGCTATTATAGACAGCTTCCATGGTTGGTGCTTCAGCATAACTATGTTGGCTGATACTGAGAGACTTCAAACCCTTCCTATGTTTCTGTCAGTCTTCAATGTATACCAGCTGTTGTCGAAGCCATTCTTCAGAATGTATTTCCTGCAAATTGTTTCTCATGGCTGTGGGACTGTTTCCGAATGTTCTGGAACGCAGCAAAGAAACAACAGCACGATCACAGGCATACTTGTGAGTGAGCAGAACAGGAAACCGTGACTTTACTGCATCACTTAGTTGTTGAAGTAGTCTGGTGTCATACGATATGTACTGCCCTAAGCAAATTCGACAGTACATATATTCTGCTGCAAGGTATTAACATTCCTTCACATTCATGACCAGTCTTACTCGGTCGTAGAGGCCCATTGAACGGAGGGAATTGTCGGCACAATTCACACACACCGGGCACTTGAAATCTA